GAGCCGCAGGTGCTGCTGCTGCTAAACCTGCCGCCGGCGGAGGCGGGCGGGGCGCAGCCGGCGGTGAACAACTTCAACGTGCGGCAGCCTGACTTCCGCGCGTCGCCGGTGCGGCTGCAGTGCCGCTACGACTTCCGTCAGTCGCCGACGTCGCGGGCGCTGCGCATGGGCCACTCACCGCACGACACAAAGGACGACAACGACGACGAGGCGGCGCTGCTGGAGCGCACCCCGGAGGACCCGGTGGAACTTGTCGTGCGGTACCACCGCCGCCGCCTCCGCGTGATGCTCACGCGCGAGGACGTCAGCCGCCGGCGTGTGGTGAGGATTCCAGCCGACGGCGCCGATGACACACAAGAGTCACCGCGGAGGGGGCGGAAGCAGCAGCAGCAGCTGCACCGCCTGGAGAAGATGTACGTGGACACGCTCTGTGGGGAGATTGATAATGTGGACCTTCCGCTGAATTACCACTTCGGCATCTCGGCCAGCACCGGCGCGCCAAAGAAGTTGAGCAAGAAGGACAAGAAGCTTGCAGCAGAGGCGGAACACCAACAGCAGCAGGGGCAACCGCAACAGCACCCGCGCAGCTCAGTGCTGGAGCTCTTCCGAAACGTGCACGCGGCGGTGCAGCCGCGCGGGCACACGGACGTGCATGACGTTGTCTCGTTCGAGCTGCGCGAGTTGGGGCGCGATGCGAAGGCGATGGGGTACTCGAAGAGCATCCCGATCGAGCACTTCGACTACGAAGCTGACCGGCGGGAGCGGCAGCACTTCTCGCGGCAGCTCCCCGTCGAACCGGAGCCGGACACGTAGACACGCAGGCGCTCACAGATATATATATATATATATATATTTATATATATAGAGAGAGAGAGAATGAAAATGAGAAACATCGTGTGTATGTGTGTGTGTGTGTTTGTGTGCTGTGGCTGTTGTTATCATCGCAGTGGTTGCCGCAAATTAGGCACAGCTCCTCCACCGGTTTGCCTGCAAGCTGGTGAATAAGCCGAATACGATACGGTGAGAAGACCTGTAAAAAGGGGGTGGGTGGGGGGTTAGCGCGCAGCTTATGTGTGAAGGGGAGTGTTTTATTTGTTATTTTTACCTCTGTTGGCATTGTATTGGGCTTGTTATTACTACCGCTGAGTGGGGGGAGAGAGAGAGAGAGAAAGAGGCAAACGGCTTGG